GGTACGAAGTTTTTGAAAATTACTTGCATGAGTTATAAACGTGTGAAAGTGAATCACTTGTAAACAATTAAATTTATTTTGAATTTATTCAAAAATCAAACCTAATGTAAAATAAAATGTTCTGAAGCGTGGCTACCGCACGCCCCTTTTTTAGAATTTCGATGTTATGAAAACCCGCAAAAATTTTAGAAGTAGAGACCAAAGATTTTCCGGGGTGCATAGCTCACGCCACGCCACCCGCTATCAGCAGAAAGTTTTTTTGGCCCCCACCCTCTGCTTCGAATGGAAATTTTGAGACCGCACCGCTAGACACTAATTACCGATAGTTGTAGAGTAGTATAAAATTACGTTGACGTCAAGGCTATTAGAAAATTCGGTCAATTTCTAGTCGATTTCTACCATTTTGTAGGCATCTAGCTAAGAGGATTGTTAGCACTCAAAAAATAGAGTTTCTCTATCATCGCAATTTTCATAATCAAGTTCTAAGAGTTGAGTACCAGATTCTTGCAAAAGATTTGTCCATTTTTCCAATAATGTTAGTCTTATTTACTTTTATTGTTGTGCGCTAAAAGATTAACAGTGATTGCTATTGATTAAATACATCCGTTTTGGATGTAGACTGCTGTGTATGACGTTGGGCAACGGAAGGTACAATCCCTTCAAATTGAGCAGACAGTCTCATATCAACCCATAAACTAAACGCATCGAGCTTGTCTCAACAAAGCTCGTTATTTAAGCTTTTGATCAGATATGTACATATGCGTCCAAACCAGCATGAATTGTTTTATTAACTGTGACAAATTACATGTTTCTCAAAATCGATTCTAGTTAATCCCGTGATAAAAGCTGAAGATGGATGAGAGATGGATAGCTGCTGTTGTCATATTTGTGGTGAGGAAAACGGCCCATTGAAAAATTTCCAAACTTTCATGAAGTGAGAGCAATGATTTTCTTTTCAGATGTCGCTTCTTGGACTGCTTCTCAATATGACAGTGGCCATCTTTGCCAGTAAAGTGACTTCCCTAAAAAATGCATTTGGTCGACTTTGCGTTAGCCAAGCCGCTGGAGAGACTGTATTCTGTTGTACATACCTTTTCTATTACTCTCCCATGGTCTTTTTGTAAGTGCTTTAATGCTGTTAGTATTGCTGACCTTAGTCTTTACTAACAAATACATTTTAAATAGTCAGTAGTGGTCTATCTCGCTCTCGTTTATCAAAACCCTATCAGCTAAGTTTAAGTCGACTTTTTGCACAATTCTTGCACAAACCTTTATATATTAAATTTGCGTTACTACTAGCAATTTCAGTAACATACCGATAATGATGGATAAATCAAACTACGCCGGATTTGTTCTTAGTACTACTTACACCATCTGCAGTTTATCCCATCTCCTCACTGCCCTAAACAGAATGTGTGCGATATGCACACCAACACGCTATGATACTTTTTTCAGGTAAGTTTTCACTTCGCTACGAGTTCTGTTTGGAATATGATGTTTGCGTTCGTTTCATAACGTTGGCACTTAGTAGGAGTAACTGGCAATACTCTCTCCAGCAGAGCCGTTTACACTACTTACTTAGGGCCCGGCACGAGGTGGGCAACGGGGTTTTCCAGAGCGAATACCCCTTTGATCCTCAGATTTTTTACAACTAGCTCTTTGAGCCCAAAAGCTATGCTTCGAGCTAGCGCAACAAAAGCACCGGCCACACTTCGCACAAAATCGCTCAAAAGCGCCCAAAAACACTCAAATTGTTCTGAGTATTCCTCACTTTCATCGAAAGATAACAGGAAGAAGAACAAGCAAGAAAAATGATGAAGGAATAAAGAAATGTCATAGTAGCGCATTTATTGGATTAAGAGACGCCGTTTCCGCGCGTATCGATTGACTGGAGCGCGCTCTCCTCCTAAGAAAGCTGGGCTGCTGATGCGATTTTGGGCTCTAACAAAGAAAAGAGAGAGAGAGGAGGAGTTTCGGACCAAAATCTTACCATATTAAACTTTAGATGTACAGCAGATTTAGGTAAAATGAAAATCTTATGTGAATCGAAAGTTTCCTTATCTCAGGTGGGCATTAGATGGGAAATTGCCCACCTAATTTGGAAAAAAAGTTGAGCACGCTCTTCATTCATATAAGTTTTTCATGAATTTTCATACCTAGTTCCTTACTCCTACTGCACGTATACACACCAAGCCTCGCGCTAATTCCTCATTCCTACTTTGCAAACGAACCATTTTCCATTTTCTTGGTAGCGGGAAATTTTCAGAGAAAAACTTGCCGCAACTTCAAGTCAGATAATTTTACAATGAAGCTCCTTATTTAACCCCTGCAGGCCCGTGTCCATGTACCTACGAAGTTTCATACCATGTCGTCATATATGCACTGCAAACGAGCGGTTTGAATTCACATCTTCATTCGCCAGTTTTGCAAAATTTTTGGGAAAAGTGTACAGGGTACACCTTCTGTTCACATAAGTTTTTCACAATTTTTCATAATCTGTTTCCACTAACCTCTCTTCGATCGCCTACGGAATTGGGTGCCATATAATT